CCAATGCAAATGAAGACAAACAAAATACCGCAAGCGGGAAAGATTATGCCTGGCATAAAAAAAAATTAATGGCCATTGCGTGTGAGTGTGTGTGTGTGTGTGTGTGTGTGTGTGTGTGCTTTTTGGGACAACTACAAGGACACAGTAATGCCCATTGGGGGGTCCTTCCTCTCTTTTTGTTCTTTATAATTTACTATGCGTAATTTCCTCGTCTGCTTTCATACGTAAATATTTAATTTCCTTAATTTTGTAGGACTCTATTCGCTCTCCCTCTCTCCCGCTTTCCTTTGCCTTTTTGGCTAGCTTTTTATTTCATTATTTATTGTTTAGCATTTCATCGCCAAGGCCTTTCATGTTTATAGCTCTTTGTGTGTGCCACAGAGAGACCACTCCGCCTCCGGGGCACATGCCGAGGCGTATGCGCAACGTCCTTATCCCCGGACTGGACTTAAGTGTCGAAAGTTAAGATCCTGGCACTTTACCCATATAGTTTTTGCACACTGTGTGCCTTTTAGTGTGGCATTGGGTGTAAAAATGGAAGTCAAGTATTCATTGGAATGCTGAAAAGGGTTTAACGATTGGTGTTTTGTGTTTGGCAATCAAACTGAACAGAATGCTGAACAGAATGCATGAAAAGAGTCAGAAATTATGGCTTGTTTATTCTCTATGGTCAGTGAGAGAGTAAAATATTAAACATTTTTGGCTCCCATTGGGTGCGAGAAATGTCTGCACAGAAAGAACTGCCTTCAACGTCTCTCGCTTTGGCTATTGTTAGTACAACCTGGTCAAAATCGCCATTTTCATGGCCAAATCATAGCTAGAACTTTTTCTTGGACGGTTCCGCTTTGGAATTAACATACGACCATTTTCCGTGTCAGGATTGGAATGCCTTGATACATTTTTTGTACTTTTGGTAAGGAAACATCAGGCATCGCCACTGCGAAAAATTTGGTAAAACGAATACAGTATTGTACGTCCTTCGCTTCAGAACGACTATCTTGAGGATGGCTATTGGATTCTGTGCGTATCGTCATTTAAAGAACCATAAGATAGAAAAATTTCTGGGCATTATTAATTGGCCGCCAAGAAGAATTTTCCACCGAGGCTCTTGTTAATTGATAGGAAGAAATGGGGATCACTTACAGCCACGTCTTAAACATCGTAATAGTCATAGGACGAATCATGGATATATCAATTTGATCCTGAAACAAAACAGCAATTGACACTTTGAGTGTTTTAAAGCGAATCAAATGAAACCGAATCGTAAGAAACCTTTTCAAGCCAAATTGTAGCAAAATTGAAAGCCTTGCTTAAAGGATACTTTCTTCTGAGTGACAAAAAAATCGCGAAAATGGATTTTAATCTTCCAGGAAAATTGTTTTTAAAATAAATATAATTTTGTTGGAGCTCCCTATTAGGCAACAAATATGAAAGCCATACCTCGTCAAGCTGTATCTTTATTAAAAAATGTATATCATTGGGTATATACTATATAATATGAACGATGTCCCGCATGGAAGTATTTGTAATTTCCCCAATCTCAGCTTTCCCAAGATCATGATTGGGAAAGTGCCGAATGATTTACCTCTGACATTCTGTGATTTCTTTTTCAAAGTTTAAGAAATTTGGCGACCATTGATGTTATTTCGACATTGAATATTAGACAGTCCTTGAATCCTTGTCCAAAAACAGTGACCATTTGGGCCAATTTCAAGAACATAGCCCATTGAAAAGTGCTAAGCAAGTCTTATAGTATATATGTAGATTCATTTATGAATAAAGTTATTTGGTTTTTTTGTTGAAAATCGCGATGGAAAAGCTCTTAAAAGGCAGAAAACTTAAAAGTCTGGCACGGTTTATCCTAATCTGAAATGTATTTCATTGGATATTACAAAATGATATTGAAAAGGAAATATTTTCAATAGAAATTAAAAGGAGCTTGAGAGAGTGTGCTGTGTGCTGTGCTATGTGCTCTGTGCTCCACCAATTCCCTTTCAAGGACATTCGAAATCCTCAGCATTGTTGCCAATTGCACTGTGCGTCCTCCAGAAAAGATTTGCACTTCAGTCGCAAAAATAAGAAACTTTTTGCCGCGCCCCAAAGGGCGCTGAGCATTTTTCTTGATTTCCATTTTAGTGCAGTTTCCGAAGTGAACTAAACTTAAACGCATTGGCATCCGTTTTCTGGTCGAAAGCGGTTTATGGCCAAAGCGAAAACTTAAATAAAGTGGAATTACTTGTTTCTGGCTGGATGTAAGGCAGGGTAAGGGCAAGTGTAAGGGTAAGGACTTTCCTCGAAAGTTGACAGTTGAGTCTCTGTTGCAAGAAGCACTCTGCATATTCATTTTGCGCTACTTTGTCGCCACTTGAGCCTTTGCCGGGCTGTCGGTCTGCCGGGCTGCCGAGCTGCCTGTTTCAGTTCGAGTCACCGATTGACAGCAGCCAAACTCTCGAGTGGATGGCACAAGTTTCCGACGGGGGGGCGGGGTGTCCAAATCCCCCGCCTCCGGACAATAGTTTTGGAGCTCTACCGGCTTGCATTCGATTAATTTCCCTCAGCGGCATTAAATTTTCGCCCTGAATAATTCAAGTGAATATTCTCATTTCCAATTATGGGCAAGTGCCAAAGATTTTCCTGCGGATTTTCCTGGCCATTAAAGTTTTCCATTTACTCGGTTAATTACTCTGCAAAGTTCCGGGCAAACAAAAATATTATTTTATGCCATATTTTTTTCGCTTCCTGATATTAAGAAAAGTTTTTGGCCAAGAGGCGTGGCACGTTTTCGGCTGAGGTATGGGCCGGGAGGGCGGGCTGTTCCACTAATGAGCCTATTGTTTGGCCAGATAAAACGTGGCTAAGCGTGGGACCCAAGCGGAACAGGAAATAGCTGTTGTTGGGGGCATCAGCAAAGGGTTGAGGCAGCCCCGGGGCCCACAAAAACTCGTGCGGTGCCATGTACGTGGGCCGATTGAGAAGTTCCCTGGCATTTGCATTGATAATTTGGGCCTGGCAGGGATTGGGGCTTGAAACCTTGAATATTGACCAACGGATGATACTTTTATTCCAGTAATTGGGTCTCCCAAATCTAATTGAAAGTTTATCCTTTCGAAACTCTCCAAACACAAGGGACAGGTCCGTCCCCCCACTCCGCAGCAGCACCCGTCGGAAGGAACCACAGGAAGGCACAGTTGGGCCTTTAGCCCTGTCAGCTTGCTAAATCAATAACTTCTGAACGAAATAAGATGCTTTTAAAAAACAACCTGCATTTGAAAGGAAATATTGTACAATTTAGCCTGTTTTTGTATACAAATGCTGCAACGTCTAGAATCTTCACAATATTGTGCCAAAGTTGAACTTTGTTCCGGTGCAAACTAAATGTTTTTAAAGAATAATTTTGACTTGAATTTACAGAAATATAACTTTAAATTTTCACCGGGTTTTTTTTTTTATGTGTATGTACTTTGAGATACTTTTTTTCCAAGTTCAAAAGTTCGGTCTGCGGTTTGGAGGCCTTCGGCTTCTAGATCGATTCAACCTCGCAGCAAAAACGGTAGAAATATAATTTTAAATGTGATTTTATGTGGGGCCAAAAAGTGGTGGCAAAAGTCAACACTAAATACTCTTTATTCTCTTTTTCTTTACAATTTACTTATTTCTATAATCCAATCTTAAGTCTTCATATTTGTTGCCTTCTGATAATCAAAACTAATCTTATTCCAACTCGTTGTACCCTCGTCACTTTCCAGCAAATACGAACCATTTTGCCCTCTTTCTCGGGCCTTACTTCTTCCCCTTTGAATCGTGCTGCCACTCATAAATGCAGTTAATTGTTTTCACTTTAAATTAATATTAGTTTTCTATAAACTTTGCCAACAGCTGGCATAACATTTTTCCCCCTTTTCCCCATCTCCCTTTCGGCCTCTGGTTTGTTGCCTTCTATGTCCTCCCCCGTTGGGCCGTTTCTCCTTTAGAATGAAAACGAAACTGAAATTGTAATTAAATTTTTGCCAATTCGTTTAATTGGGTTTTAAGCCGCAACTTCTGAATGGCCAAAATTGAATGTTCCTCCCCAGACTACCCCCTTCCCTTTCCCCACCACTTGATCCCCAGCCAAATTTCAGCTTAAATATTTTCTTACTTGAGGTTGGCTGGGTTTTGCTTCTTTTTTTTTGTTGCTTTTTTTTTGCATATTTTACGACTGCTCCTTGCGACTGTTTGCTCTGTAATTAAGTGCGTCTAATTTGTGTTAAGCGCTGTGCCACTTGAGCCTCGCTTTTATTTTTCTTCCTCTGCTTTTTTTCGTTATATTTCTTTCTTCTTTAACCCGCCTGCTTCTGCTCCTGTGCTCCTCCTGTGTGTGCTTAACCTAAGCCCAGACGTTCCACCCAGGCTTACAGCCGGAGGAGCAGTGTAGCCTGGTGGGAAGGCTATCACGCAGAACATCGACTCGACGGTAAAGGTTATCTGGGTACAAACTGCCGTTAAATTGCCACCTCCTTTGGGAATTTGTCAAACAAAAATACAGCATTTTTTTGAGTGATTTCTCCGTATGTGCGATACGCTTGAAGGTGATTTAAGGGTTCAATAGCAGATACCAGATAGCAGATGAATTTATATGGGGGATTTACTGGAAATGAATTTCCAGAGATTCGAGAGGCAGAGATGATCTGATTCGAATTTTGATTGGTTTACTGAACCACTCAATACTCAATTGGGTCCTCAAGACTTCTTAAATATTTTGTACAAGAAGAATATACACGACTTTCCTTCCAAAATCCTTTGAACTTATTCCCTTTCCCTTGCATCATAAATTCTTTAATTCAATTTCTTTGCGTTATCTTTAAACCATTACAGAATTGAGCCCTTTTTTGGTTGAGCCTTTTTGTTCCGATGCCAATTATGTTATTTTTGTTTTGTTTTTGTTTCATTAAGAACACACCCCTTGGGGGATCCGGCCATCCATATTAATTACAGTTGCTTAAGGAACCCCCTGTTCTTACCTTATTCCTCAAATGTTAATTTATTTATTCATCAATTATGGAATTTGTTTGAGTTTCACACTTTCCACACAGAAAAACACCTCAACAAAAAATGTGCAATTTGCGTTTGTTTATTTCCACACTTTACCGGCAATTTACCGTTCGAATTTTTGCCTCTTCTCACTGTTTGAGATGTTAATTTGCTGCGATTGTTATGGCTTTGTTATGGTTCTGTTCTGGCTCTCAGCCACGATGACACTTGGCGGCTGTGGCTGTGGCTGTGGCTATGGCTGTGGGGGTGATATCGTTACGCGTTCGGAACGGTAACTGTTCGAGGTTTTATCAGTGAAGCACGCTTATAAGGCGAATCCGAAAGGAGCTTTTCCCCGAAGAGCTTTCCTTGCGAGCGAGAGAGCCACAGCTAGCCGAAGAGAGCGCCCCCAAGCACGGACTTTCGACCTGTTTTCGACCAATTTAAGGGATTCCTCGTGTGCCGTTTGGCGCCAATTGTTCTAAGTGCCGCATACTGCCGCCTCGTATCATAGCCAAAGGCCAAACACAAACATTTCACCTTCGAGCATTTTCCGAGTGCCAAAGGATGCCTAGGAACGTAAATAGAAAATCATGAAGTATTGGATGGATACCCTGGCATCCCTAGATACCCTTTCGGGTCGAATGATCGAATCAAACACTGTACTTATTTAAGTATTTAATTTGAAATAAGATTTACTTGCATATATTTAAGGCTCTAGTCACAGAAATACATATATCGATTTTTAATACCCTTTAATGCCCTTGCCAGGGTAGACAGAGCAAGAGGACAGGAGCAGTAGAGCACCTCTAGTGCTAGAAAAAACTGCATGCAAATCATTTGCCGGTCATAAATTATGCAGCTCAAAGCAGCAAACAGGAGCTGCAGCCGTGTGGCAGGAGGCTGTCGAGCAAATAAACTTCAATTTATCTCAACATGAGTTTCGGTTTTTCTTGACCACTTTGTACCTGCGAGAGACCACCGACAAGCTGCTTTTTTGGGAAAAATATATGTTAATATTAGCCTTTAAGGAAAGATCAAGTACTATTACAGGCTTCCGCTTTTGTGTGTGTTTTTGTGCGTTTTAGGCGGAAACGGAAATGCCACCGGTCGCAGTCCAACCTGTTCTTGCTTTTGGTCATTCCTTCCTGCCTTCATGTTTGTGTGTGCCCCGTGTGTGTGTCCTATGCACGTCCTATGAAAATTCAAATTCATGACATTCATGGCTGGAAGAGCACACGGCGAATATAAATATCGATTAGTTAATAGCAAAACTATGTGACAGGCTGACAAGGACTTTAAAGCGGCATTGAACTTGTCTAGGCCTCCTCGCCTCCTCTCCTCCTCTCCTCCTCTCAGCACAACTTTAGAATAACCTTTGCATGATTTAATTATTTGCAGCCATACGGTAACATACGACCCAAAAACTTCACACCTGAATGCACAAAGGCCGACATAGCGGCGGGGATGTGAGCGGCTGAATGGTGCAAAAGTTTTGCCACTTTTGCATTCAGTGTTCTATACTGTATGTTGTTCAAGGACCCTTCTTCTGACCCCGCTGCCACTGCTGCCATTGCGGTTTCTCGCATTCGGGTCTCTATTTCTCTTTCGGCCGAGAAATGAATGTCTCAATTCATTTTACGCCACACTGCGCCTCAAGTGGAGCGCGCCATGCAAAAAAGGGCTGCCAATGCGGGTCTCGGCTCTCGGGTATGGGATTTCGGGTTGTGGGGCTTGGGGCTGTCGGACTGGGGGTCTGGGGTTTGGGTTCACATAAAAACAAAAGTAAAAAGCAAAATAAGAAAATGGAGGGAAAAGTGCAAGCAGCGCAGAAAAAGGACTTTGGCATCATTACAATTTGTTGATTTGCTTCGTTAAACAGCAAACAACAGCGAGCGAAAAGCGAAAGGCGAAAAAAAACGCACAAGAAAAGGCGAATCAAGAGTGCAAAGAGTGGTCGGATGAAAGAGATTGAAATGAAAACGCAGACAGAAATTGAAACAACAGGCGACAGTTGAATGAATCAAGACAAGGTATAAAGAAGGGACCTCGTCTTCGACATAGAAATGAACGCTTAGGCAGCCCCAGTCTCAGCCCCAGCCCCAGCCCCAGCCCCCGCCACAGCCCTAGGCAAACGCTACTTCCATTCAAATGGCGAATGCATTGTTGCTTATTTGCGAAGAAGAAAGCGCGAATAAATGAGCAAAATAAGAAAGGAAAAACATGAAAAACCAAGGAAAACAACAACGGCAAATAAAACAGTGAAAAGCAAATGAAAACTGACAAGGGACTGGCTGGCTGGCTGGCTGGAAAGGCGTTGAAGGCGGGTGCCAGCATCCTCTCTCCTTCAAAGGCATCGCCCTTGGCGCCAAATTTTTTATCTTTTAGCTGCTGTTATAAAAGAAATGAGAGTCACTGTGTGTGGCCGCTGGCTACAGTTTAAAATGAGGTGGAAGTTGGGGTGAAGTCAGAGGCAGAGACAGAGGCAGCGATGCTTGCAACCAAGGTGGCAAGCAATCATCACTGACAGGCAGCGGCCTGAGCATGAGGAGCAAATATTTCTTGTTGCCTTGCGGACAAATAAACATTCAAAAGATTTCGATTTTTTCCATTTAAGAAACTTGAATTTTTAGCAAAATAAAGACCGATACGCTGCCCTCTCGTAATTGGCCTTATCACTTCTGACCCGACTCGACCCTCTTTGCACAATTAGATTTATTTGCAAAATTATAAGTGGAATTGCAGCAACCCCAGCAATAATTTTTCTTTTATGGCCCGTCGCCGCAGTTTATGCAACAAAAGCGCTTCCCCATTTGTGTCATAATTTATTGCATACTCTCGGGGGCTTGGATAATTAGCATTTAATTTTGGATTGTTTATGAAAAAAGAGCGCGGTGGGGAGAGCAGATAGCAGAAAGTCTCCGTCGAAAAAAAGGTTCATTGGAGCCGCTCATTAAATTAGTGAGCGGATGTGCCGCCGATTTACATTCTTTGATATGCGGAGCACCCAAAGTCCAGGGTCCACTCGGCAGCGCATAATAACTTTTTTTAATGAGCTCCGATTTGAATAACAAATTGTATGGTTAAACTCGATGTTGGTCTTCGGGGGCAATGGAAATTAAGAGTTGATTGATGCTCCATTAGAAATTATGCCCAGTCCCTGGGGCGGACCATATCGCACACCTGGAACTGGCGAAGTAAACTGTCCGCTTGCTGGACATGTTAATTGGTTTCTGTTGTGTGGCTGCCGGTGCCATGCCTTCTGATTGCTTTTCTATACAGAAATTAGCTCTTAAACTAAGTGTCCAGTGTCCCCCGGGGGTGGCAAATAGGATTGGTCGGACCGGAAGACTAAGTGGTAATTTTCCCAAGTGGCACAGTGGCACAGTAGCACAGGAAATATAACTATTTTCTCTACAAATAAATGTGAACTTTAGCAGGACAATTTTCAGCTATGAGTGGCTCTTGCTCCATGGTGCTGGCTGGACAAGCCCACCTTTCTCGTCTGTCACTTGATCGGCAAATAACCCACTTCCGCCTTGAATGAAAAACTTTTCCCAAAGACCAAAGGCACCGCAAGAGGCAAGACGCAAGACGGTGTTTGAAATCGACAAATGACGATTAGCACATCGCACAGCAGCAGCAGCAGCAGCAGCACAAGCGTCAGCAGGTGTTTTTGTTGCTATTGCTACTGTTATTTTCTGTTTTGGCCAACACACACACAAACACGCTAAGAGACAGTCCGTGGTTTGGGGAACGGGCGCATTCACGTTCGTGATCGGCATCGGCCAGCGCAATAATTTTGAATTTCATTTTCAGTTGGTGAACAACGCGCGAGCGAACCAGACACGCGCGGCGTCAAAGTGCACAGAGAAGTACAGAGAAATAAACAGAGAAAGACACACCGAGTGAGAGACACTGAGAGACAGAGAGCGAGGTGTGATCAAACAAAATAAGAGAAAGACCCAACAGCTGCTTAAGAAAAAGTACGAAAATTATACGAAATTTTAAAGCAAACAAAGAGTAGACCCTGTACAGTGCACACAGTATTTGGTTAATGCTTTTCGTTTTTTTTTTTTTTTTTTTTTTTTTATTGATTCCCCGCCAATTTTTTTTGCACTTTGCAATCGCTTGTGATCGAATACAATTTTTTGTTGTTTTTTTTTGTATTTTTTATTGCATTATTCAATCAATTTTAACGAAGTGTTTTCCCCACACGACATGTAACAGAAATAAATAAATAATTATCGTTTCTATGCCGTTGATGCCGATAATTTGTGAAGTCAATCAAAATGAATTAAAGAACAGCCTGAAATGTGCGAATATCATTTCAATTGAAATTCTGATCAACTGTGCAATGCCAAGGCCGGTCAGACAGGAAGAAATTGGGCCGAAAACGAGTTGATGGTCAAGTTAGCAGTGGGCTAGGCTAAGCCAGTCAAGGCACAGGCTTTTAGGACATGAGGAAGAAACCATTGCCCAAAACAGATCTAAGTGGACAAACAAGTTTCAATTGTATACAAAATCATTTTTCAAGATTTTTCCAGCTTAAAGTTTTGGTTGTATTCAGAAAAGATTAAGAGGAAGTAAGACCTTCTGAAAGCCTCCATAGGGAAAGGAAACGTATCCATTTTGTTGTACTTCCTTGAACTTCGTTATCTGAAAAAAACAAGAGCATGGAACATGGAAAATGGGGCCTCTTTACGTTACAGAAATTATATTGCTAATCGGTAATTGCCCACAAATTTTTGGTAGTACATAGCTCTGATTCACTTTATCCACTGCCATCAGCCTTGTTCAATAACAACTCAGACCACATGACCTTTGAACCTGAAGTGTGTGTGTCACACACAACAATTCGCCATGTAGGAATTTTGTAGAATTGTTTTGGTTCTGGGTAAATATTTGAAACATTTTATCTCGAACAAGCGACATAATTACATTTTTATCTAGATACAATTTTCAAATGATTGTAGGAGCGAGCATCTGGTATCGCGTCTTGTCACATTGTCTAATGAATTGCCCTGGTGTGTGCAGGGACAGGGAAATGCCATGGTTTTTCCCATTTCCCATTTTCCGTCTCTTCTTTTTTCGCCGCAAAACGAATTAGATTTTGCGGTCTCTGTTCTGATTTTGATTATTTCCCCACTGCAATGCACTTGTATCCCCCATTTATATTTGATTTTTGGTTTTCTGTTTTTTGTTTTTTGTTTTTGGTTTGTCTTTTGCTCAATTCGATTGCATTGCGTAAGGTCGTGTCGGTGGGTCGCTGCTTTTTGGTCTCGTCTCGTTTGGTCTCGTCTCGCCGAGATATTTGAATTTTTGTTAACCGCAAAAAAAGCTCGGAAATAACTTGGCAGACGACGACGACAACGCATTTGGGTGTCTCTACAGAGTCAGGGCCGGACAAGCGATGGCTGCTGGGCCATGAGCTACCATGCGGCCTGTCACCGAAGAAGCTGCAACCCAAGGGAAGGAGCCGATAAAATGACATGAAATTCCCCATTTAATATGGTTTCACCATCAACAAAAAAAATGAAATCAGCCATGGCCAACAGCAAAATGCAAAACTTTGTTCACTTTTCGCTAATGTTTACGTTTCATTTCAACAAGTTTTTTGTAGGAGTTTTAAAGATTTGTAAAGAAAGGGTGTTGATGGTGGTATAACATATTTTGCCTAGGATGGGAGTGATCTCTTACAACCTCCGCTCGATAATTCTTTACCAAAAGACCTCTAGAATTATTTTTTTTAGAGTTGAAATTTAATATGAGCGAGGAGAGGTTTTGCCAGCTTTTGTTGCAACACAGTATTCATATTTCATACCACATTTTGCTGCTCACTTTTTGGCACGTTCTATATATTTTTTTCTTTCATTTTTTAGCCATTTGTTTTTGTTGTTTATTGCGTGCGCTGCCCATTTGCAAGCCGTTAAAAAATCAAAACCAAAAAGTGTACGGCACGGAGAGTATGTGCTTTGGGGCATCGGGAAATAATCTTTATGACGCTGTGCTCCGCTGATATTTCACGCTTCGTTTTACGCACCTTTAAAATGTGCTAAACACAGAAATGAATCCGCGAATTCTGTGCTAATTATTTGAAATTTTTTTATACCGCATCTTTTCAAAACTAATTGTGAAGAATTCTCTCTCGTTTTTTCGTTTACTGATGAAATCGCTGGCTGGGGCGATAGAGAATTTCGATCTCCGGCTGACGGCTGACGGCTGACGGCTAACGGCTGATAAGGCCGTGCTTTATGAGTACTTATTTCGAGATCTCTGCAGTTCGTTGAAAGACCGACTCGGGATTGAGGCCAAGCCCAAAGGGGGCTTTGACACGTTTTCGTAGCTGATCTGCCAATGAAGGTCGTTGCTGTTGCCGCTGCTGCTGGTGCTGATGATTGGGAGATTCGAGTGCTGGTTGAGTCATGTTTTAAGTACTTGTTAACAGGTACTTGCAACATATTGTACTGGGCCGAAACCTGTTTCAAAATGTAAAAATAACAAAGAGTCTTACATAACGAATGGGAGTGCAGTGAGGCAAGCTCTGGTTTCAGCTCCGAATTTATGTATGGCCGGTCGGTCGTCTCGTCTCGTCTCGCCTCGACTATGCTTTCCAGAAAACCTGTTTACGTTTCGGGCGCCTCTCTCTCACTCTCTCTTCTTTTACTCTTTCCCCAGCCATGTGGGGGACGGACTCTCTTCGGTTGCCTTGGGCTCCCAGGCACGTGCTTTTCACCTGTGGCTTGTTATGGCTGTTTGGGGCTTTGCATTTGTACATCATTTGATACGCTCTCTATTAGCGGCTTAAGTATTGTATTATTATGGTGTTTATATTGAAATTTTTACGGATGAATTCGAGAAATTTGCAGTTAAGTAAAGTACGGATTATTTGGACCAGAACATGCCGGTCGATTACCCATAAAAAATAAGATTTAAGGCTTTTTCTTCTTTTTGTTGTGTATTTGGGTCGTCCGTCGGGTCTCGTGGCTAACCGCTTAAAACTCGAAAAAACTCGTAATAAGTTCGGTGTTAGATCCGGTCAAGTGGTGGTCTCTGCTGGTTAGCTGGCACAGCCTGATACTAACGAACTCCCCGAAGAAGCTGTAAGAGCCACAGCCGCCTGTCTCCGATGATCGATCGATCCAGGGGGCACTCGGCCGCCGGCAGCGTATCGCCTTTCTATGCGATTCTCATGGGAGGCAGCTAACCTGAAGCCATAGCCAAGAATATTCCATAGTTTTTTTGCATTTTCATTTTCTCAAATGATTCAAGCCACTTAAAGTTCAGAAGTCGGTATTCCAATTTAGATCCAGAAGGGATAAGGGGGTCTGTCATTCAAATGTCACATATGTGGGGCCTTCTTTGCATTTGCACGGGATCGTGATTGAGGTTGTTAACACTTCGTCTAGACTGTTTGTTTAGCATCCATTAGGCCTTATTTTCCTTATAGTTAACGCAGCGGAGTGCATTGCCTTTGCCACTTCAATCTTCAATCAAATATTGTTGCACCCTTCTCGCACTTTCCCCCAGGCCTGGCCAATGATATTTATCCCACCCGTCTGTCTGTACTATTTATTTGCAGCACAGACTCTATTCACAGCCCAGACTTTAACAGATTGAGGCAGCTGGAAGATACATTTACGAGTGCTAATAAAAGTAAAGTCTGTTAACTGTTGGCAAATGTGCGAACAATGGCAAAGATGTGAAGTGTAAGCGGCATAGCAGAGTCGAAGGAGAAACCCAGGAAGTATTGCACAAGCTTGCCACCAGAGAGTGAATTTATTATAAAACAAAAACACAACAACAAAATGAATGCCAGCGATGAATGGACGCTCGTGGAGCAGACGGAGCCTGCACCACAGGAGGTGGAGATGGAGATGGCAATGGAGAAGAATGGCAGCTCCATGAGTCTGCGAACACACCCCACAGTGGCAGAGTATTATGGCAGTAAGTACTCGAGGGGAATCCCCATGAAGAGTTCCTAATACTAATACGGTTGTGTGCACATCCCTCAGATATGACTGCGTTCCTTAGCCTGGCCATTTTCATAGCCAGCCTGCTGACCATCCTCAACATCTGCATCTACTCGACCACTGTGTCGCGTCTGAGGCGCCACCTTAACAAGCCACTGCGTACGCCGTCCATCCTGATGGTCAGCCTGTATCCGATTATCTCGCTGGCCGCACTGGCTACCATACTGGTGCCGTACTCCTGGTTTATTTGCCACACGGTGATGCATGTGATGTTCATGGTGGGCGGGCCCATATTCCGCACACTGCTCTTCCGCTACGTGGACTCCGAGCAGAACTACGTGAAGGAGTCGGGCGGGGAGGCGGTGCAGCTGACAACGCCGCCCTGCTGCTGCTGGTGCCTCTGCCTGCCGATGGTGGTGCCCACGAAGGCCAAGCTGTGCATCTCCCGTTACATGGTGTGGCAGATGCCCTTCTGGCAGGGCTCCATTATGCTGGTGATGAACATCCTGTACTACCGGGACATCCAGCTCTACCACCAAGTGATGTACTTCTTCATACCCTTCATCATCAGCTCGATTGTCCTGGGCGTGTGGTCCCTCCAGATCACGGTGCGAATGATAACGAAGCTGCGCGGCGACTATCAGCTGCGAAAGAAGATGTTCTGCCTCCAGCTGGTGGTGATGCTGTGCAAGCTGCAGTATCTGGTGCTCTACGATCAGCTCGATGGCATCAAAATGGGCGGCGAATATCCTATCAATCACACTGTCTACAAGCAAAGTGGGTGGAGAGATCCTTTGTTTGGGATAAACATATTCATTTTGGTTTCTTTTTTCAGCCATCATCAATATCTTGATACTGGTGGAAATGGTCTTGGTCTCCATGATGGTGCAGAGCGCCTACCGCACACCCATCCAAGTGCAGATCGATGAGGTCAACAAGGACAAGGAAATCACTCGCATTTGAGAGAGGGAGTTTTACAAACGGTTACAAAACAGTAGCAACGAATTGTGATAATTTCAATAAAGAAACTGTAGTTAAATGTAGTCGGAAAATGTCGTCCTGCACCAGCTTTAATTGTCTCTAAGCTTCCACATCTTTCTTAGCCAAGTGTTAATCATGCTTTAAGACCGAAAACAAAATGAAATAAATCTCCGCAAATCATGTGTTTGTTCTAGGACTTCTGGTCTGGTCAGAGACTCCCCAACCCCAACCACAACCACACTTGTACTCATAATCCCATCCCCATCCCCATGCCCTTTGTCCCTGCAGTCATGCGTGCCGCATTTAGCTCATAATTCTCCCTGCGGCAGAGATCCGTTTTACATTTTTCAACCGACAACAAAATGCTGGCGGGGCTTAGACCCACGGACCAAGTGCCATAAAAATACAATAAATATAATATGATGAAATATCTGTATACATATACATTTTCCTCTCTGTTTAGATAGCCTTTCTTGAGGATAACTCAATTGCTGTCGCAGACCGCGCACGCGGCCATAGGCCAGGCACCACCCGACCACATTTTGGCCCGGCCTGGAAAATCCTTCGAGAGAAGACCACAATCTTCGGTGGAGGAGCATTGAGAGGACATTGCGTACTGCAGAGAGCAGTGCGTTGAAATTTATGATTTATTTCAAAAGAAAGTACATTGTGCTCTGCCAAAATAAATCACACTAAAGATGCTGGCTGGCTGGCAGGCAGGCAGCTCTCAGAAATAGCAGAGGAAGCAGCCAGGGCTGGTTCGGGGCAGGGCGAATGAAAATCAAATATAGAAAAAAAACAGGCGTACATACAGATCGAATGGATGGATACTCTTAGGGGAGTTCATCATATATTTACTCTTAATTATGGGTTTATTCATGTTTCTATCTGGAAAAAGATGATAAATCAAAGGATGTTTTCAAATACCTCTGACACGCATTGAATGCTTGAAAGTCCTAGCCTTGGAAAGAAAAGCCAACCCAACAAACGATCGGCTATGCCCCATAGAAACACAAAGTGTATTAGCAGGATGTCTGGCAAGAAGGACAAGGAAAACAGGGGAGTGGGTAATGGGGGACTAGGAACAGTCAAGTGCCACGGTCGGTCGTCGCTGGGCACGGTTATCTTATCGCTCTTTTATGGTGTACACAACGCCACAGAGCGCCGAGCAGTGGCAGCCACGAGTAGGAGAAGGGCAGCCTGTGGCTACAACAGCTCCATCCTATCCCCTCCCCAGCTCCCCAGCTCCCCAGCACCCCAGCCCCGCCTTCCCCGTCTGGTCGAGATGTCGCTTTTTATGAAGAAGCTTGTTTACCCGGGACTTGGCCAGGGCTTCCATCCAGCCATCCAGTCATCCAGCTGGCTCTCTGCCTTCGCCAGAGCCAGAGCCAAGTAAATCAGATTAAGTATCCGCTGCTCATTTTGATGAGCCACTGTCAGTGCGGGACTCCAGTTAGGATTTTTGATTTTCTCTTGTCTTTTGTGCCGCAAGGATACGTATCCGAGGGCCGCATATGTGAGCGGACGAAGATTTAATTACAATTTGACGCAGGAATAAAGCTAGCATCCATTTATGGAATTTCACTCAGTTTAGCCTCGGGGAAAAATCCTGTAAGGACAATTTTTTAAAATTTATTATCACTTAGCGCTGTCGCAATCCGATGAAAAAAAATATAAATTTTTCCGGCGGGTAGGCAATCATTTTTAGCACTGATTTTTGTTCCACATGTCATTGTGGATTTCATGCAGCTCTCTTTTTGGCTTAATAAAAAATTCATAAAGCTTTTGAGGCGGGTGGGGCGACCATGGCTATTGTTCAGATATAAAAAATTAAAGAAAACCATTTTTGTGCTGCCTCGCCCACTGCGTCCTGCGTCGAGCGTCCCTCGCACTCTGTCTGTCTGTCTTCCATTGTCTACGCTTCTTGGCCATGTCCAAACACGTTGGGCCATCAACTTGGCACTACAGCATGGAGTTGGAGGACAGGGACTTGGGACACAGACGGGACAGAAATGGCAGCCTCCAGTCCTGGCTGTCAGCCGTCTGCGTCTTATGTCACTGTCCATTAGACGCGCCATTCACAGGCCTTTAAGTTGTACTTATGCATTTTTTACAATCTCCCTTTAAGATTGCAGAAATCCTGTCGGCTAAAGAGCAGCAGCTAGAATTTCATGGCTGCTTGGAGCTGGAGTTGCCGTACAACACTTAGAGAAATTAAATAATGCGCACACGCAATGTGGTGCGCGCTGCTTAATTTTCTTAATAGAAATTATAGCACAATATTTGTCATTCACAGGCAATTTAACAAATTCCTATAGCTCTCCCACAGCCCCAAAACCCCACCACCACTCCTTTTCCCCCTATATCTTTCTCTCTCTTTCTTCTGGCTTCTGCAGACATTTTATGATTATTGACAGCCCCACTTTTTCGTTGACTTGACTTTGCTTTCCGCTGGCTCTTGTTCGTTTGTTCTTCTGCTTATTTTTTATGCTGCTTTATTTATGTCAGGCCTTTTGTTTAAGTACCCGACTCCTGGCCAAGGGCTCCAGGCTCCAGGCCCCTTACTCGTTGCTACAGGCTCCAGGCTACGGGCTCGGACATTTTGCTGGTGCTAAGTAAATAAGTTTTATGGCATTTCTTTTCCTTATTTGTTGCTGCTCTGCGTCTGCGACTTCTGCTTGATTGATTTCATTGGCTTTGACACTTGGTGTCACATCGGTGGATCGTGCGTATTTTTCCGCTATTTGTTGGGGCATTTTTCAGGCGCCTTGAGGTAGGTAGATATGTAATGCAATTAAATTAGTACAGAAAACTGAATAACACAGATAATACATTGTATTTACTGGACTTAAAGGAAATATCCGATTTTTCTTGGGTTTCCCTTTTCCCTTGGGGCCTTCGGTTTATTTCCGCGCTTAAGGGTTTCAGTTTCGTGTTGATTCCTGGTCTAAAACCCTTTTTCCGTTTCCATTGTCAGATGTCAGCGACAGCCTTTTCCGTTGCCATTTTTTGGCGAGGGTTTTTGTTTTTGGCTCTTCTGACTGATTCTTAATATTTGCTTCTTATGAAATTGGGCAAATATACTTTGTATAATTTAATTAAAAACTTTGGCAACTCATCGTTGACTTTTTCCGGCCCCAAGTCAGCGGGCCACACACACATACAGACTCTTGAGTTCCTGGGCCCCGTTATGGGTTGTGGGTGGTGCTAGGGGGTGCCTTGAATTAATTAATGTTCCGCGTAGCGTAGCGGCGAGCAGCCATAAGAAAAATATTTGCGCATGTTCTGGCATAATTAGAAGGGTTTCCCTTCTGTCTCCCCACTTTCTCTTGATTTACTTTTTTTTTGTGATTTTTGTGATTTTTCTTTTAAGCCAAAAACCAAAAAGAAAAATGTGCCTAAGCATTTTTCAGTTGTGAGGCTTTTGTTTTTCTTATCACATTGATGAGAAGTTTTCAAGGCTTTAGGGATGGACTATGCAGATGCCCTATAGCCTGATTTGAAAAATATGGCCTATAGGTTTGGGGATATTAAAATCAATTTGAATTAGTGAGCATATTCCCAGAGTAAAATAGGTGAGTGGCTTGTCCGTCTTCATTTCCCAGGCTTTTCCATTTACTCATTTGTAGGGTATTGGCAGTGCTAGTGGCTTACCCCTGAGACTCATCAGCTTTTTTGTCGCCTGCCTTTAAGCACACAGAGCACACAGCCAAAAGCTTGGCTAAGTATCCTGCTGGTGCAAGGGGAATGTTGGGGGGGGGGGGGGGGGGGGGGGTCCTGTGGGGCGCCTTATGCTGAGCACTCGGTTTAACAATGGCAAACAAGTAAAACGCTGCGGAATCCGCTTAAAGAGCATTTGTATGTAATGGCAAGAAAAACGAACAAGAGGATACCGAAACAGCAACACCATCCAGTCATCCACTCATCCAGCCATCTAGCAGATCCCTCGGCCAGGCCGGGCTGCATCGCTATGCTTGCTTGGCTTCCTTTCCCCTCCTCTCCTCCCCGTTCCTTTTCTCTACTTTCCTTTCTTCTTTTATTCTGTTTTTCTTACACCTCCGCATGCCTCCATTAGGGGATTTTGCATAAGTGACAAGGCCTGGCTGTGGTAGTGGCAACTTTTTCCTCCTCCAGCTCCACCTCCACATGTGGCACTGTGGCATGTGAGTGGCCCGACTAAAGCCCCGGCTAATGCAGCACTGAGAGACGTGCATAAGGCGCTGGTAACACGACACGCTTGTCAAATGGTCCCCAGCCGAGGACACGATGGACACGATACCTCGATGCGGACACTGACACTCTGCCACAGATGCTCCGCTGCCGCTCTCTCTCTCTCTCTCTCTCTCTCTCTGTTCCATTAAAGTGGGGAACAAAGTCACTGCATCAGCTGGAAGTGGTTTAATTGAATGAGGTGGCACTGGGATCCATTCGCATTGTCCGGACGCGACTGGGGGCACTGTGATTGGATAAATGATTAAGTAGTTTGCAATTACGTTAAAGGAAACTTTGCCGTTAATAAGTTTTTGGATTTAATTGGCTAAAATAAGTGGACACTTTGCCAAGAAAGTTTTTTGCCGGAGAATGGTGGGAACTGTAATTGAAGATGTTCTAAGCAAAAACAGCTAAAAAAAAAGTGTGTTCAATTAAGAGGATGAAATGTAGGACACATTACAAAATGTAAAACAATGTTTTTGTTGTTTTGCTTAGAGATAACACAGAATTAAGGGAGAATGTGCAATGAATGCGCGAATTGAACATGATCGGACATGAAAGAAAAGAGCAGAGGGTAGAACGGAACGGTGTTAACGGAACAACTGACAATTAAGGGGATCATTGTCCCTCTTATCAGTCATTCTCTAACGAGTTCTGTGTGTCCCACTCGGAGGGAATTTCTGGAAAGATTCAGCTAAAGCCAGATGGGAAATGATTGGAATGGGCATTACGCTTCTGCGAACTTTGGTCGCCGCTTGATAGAAATGAGTGTACTTTTCGTGGAAAAACAAGAAAAGACTTGATTCAAGAGAATTCACACAGAATGTAGAATTATCAGCACGCCAACAGAGACAAAACC